GTGATCTTTTGCTTGTTTGCTGAAGCGAGGTTGTTTATGTTTCGTGTACATGGTATCGGCTGGTTGCCTTCGCGTGCAGAGACCAAGTTTAAATTGAAACTACTATAGATTCAGCATCCATTAGTAATGTGACGTCATTTGGCTGTTGTCGGAATGTGTGGGGCTCTTCGCCCCAACACTTCAACATTCCTGTTATCTGCTACCTTTTGCAGCCTTGCGAGGGTTTAGTTGTACTGCTATCGATCTCTACCGATGTCTAGAATCGAAGCTACTTCAGATGGCGTGAATAAAAAATACATTTAGACTTTTTTCTTTTAGTTCCCTGTCCTTTTTTTATCAAACGAGCAACTTTGCTCTCTGGGATCGTAACTTTCAGTTTCGGAACTTGGCAGTACATTCTGCTCACTGGAATAAGAGTGAATAGAGATCTATTTTGCCCACTGTTTACACGCCGGATGGAGGCGGTAAAATATAAACATAGCTTCGAATGCCCTGTGCCAAAAAGCCTTATCATTACAACAGTCACAGAATGAGGATTTATTTCAGTAACTCGCATTTTGTCTTTGCATCGGGCAGGAGGCGGAGAGCAACCACGTGGGTGAGCTTATATAATTTTGTTTTCACTCAAGTTTATGAAACGGCGTTCGTGTTCTTGAATATGTGGTGTGTATGTATGAACGTGGTGATTTAAGGTTAAACAGTACTTAAGGGGGTTGTTGAGAGATTATTTGGAACATAAAATGTAAATATCCGATTTTTTACGTTCATGCCACTTTGATTACTGTGATTGTAGAATTTTACAAAATGGAAACAATTTTGAATGTAACATGTAAATTGATTTCCTTGATTCCAGTGAAAGGAAAGAATAAAAACCGCAAGCCCTAATCTTTGTAGTATTTTTCATATTCACTTCATAGTATTTCCTATTTACCTATATTTCTGTTCGTAAGGTAGTGACTTGTCAGCACACTGATTGTACTGCACATACAGTCGGCCTAAAATTTACCTAAACAAAGAGGTATTCAAATACAGTTCATTCCAGCATGCATTTATTTTGGGATGTCTTCAGTGCGTTTGCTCTCGAAATTTTTAGAATACTGGTTTAAGTCTATGTTGTTAAAGGCCCGCTGCTTTTAAAGTAATCGTTTAAAACTCATCCTATCTTACTCAGTTTCTTCACGAGGTTTCAAATTGTGTGCCTGTCCCGTCCAACTTTGACGCCAAACTTTACCTGGATCACTCTGATATTTTCTGGGTTTTCATATGATCGAATGTACGCTTCGATTTTGAATTTTCGCTGCTCGGTACTGAACAAAATCGAACGATAACAAATGATAAACAAGTGGATTGAGTACTGTAGTGTTCAACTTATAATCATTCGTTTCATAGAAAATTGAGTTTAAACTTTGGACTTTTATGCAACTGCACTGTGTCCACTTCCATAAACCGCCAGCGCGGAGCCCCTGTCAGACGATCACAAAAACTTCGTCTCTCGGAAACGGTGGTGAATCTGAAAAAAGAAGACGCGATCGACATATTCTGCTCTTGCTGATCTCCTCAAAAACCTTCTTGTGTATTGTACAAGATCTTTTAATAATTCTGTATATAAATGGGAAACAAGCTGGCAAGAACGTGGACACCTATTTTCCTTCAAACATATCAGTCATGGGGCGACCAGAGAGTGGAGGTGGGTAGACATTAATGCCTGTATCCTGATAGGCGGACAAAATGAACATCTGTACCACAAATAGTCAAACATACTATATTAAAACCTCTCTAAGTCGGACACTTGCGATTCCACGAAAATGTGTCCAACTTACAGAGGTGTCCAAGATAGAGGGAAAGGGAAAAATCCTTTCAGATTGTGGTGTAATGATAATGTAATCTATTTACTTGCATAAACTATCTACTGTAGGCTTACTTGAATTAAGAATTAATGATGATAATAATAATATCCTATGCATTGCACATTACACCCCAGCCTCAATTAATTTTCTTAAAGTTAATTCCACCAATTTTCGCTTCCCCATCGTAAAAAAAGAAGAATCCAATTTCTGTTAACACAGTTTGAACCCAAATGCAAACGCAGTGCTGATGGAGTTAAGACTGTATCTGCGTTTCTGTAGTTCAGTGAAGGGTTCAACAAAAGAATATCTACACACTTGCACCGTATTCCAATTATGGATTCAATGTCTCCCACCCTCAACCATAAGCTAATCCTCCAGACAGAAGGCATTTATCGGTCAGAAATTCAAAATAACAAAATATGTAACTGTAAATGTTTCCATGAAAAGCATTGAAGTTGAGTGCATGAAACTGTCCAACCTACAACAAAAGGGGTGTCCAACTTGAGGGGGTTTACTGTATTTGTACTTGAAGTCCAAAGGTTTCTTCACCCTTAGTGTAGAAGATGCTGAGCTCTGATTTGACGTTTTCTCTCGGAGAGAAGGTTTTATTTTTCGCTGTTGTAATTTCGCCTCTGACAGATTTTTCTGAAAACCGTCGAGATTTGTCTCCTTCCTTGGAATGCTGATGCTCTTTCTCGGTGACACAAAAGGAGGAGGAGACTGATCTTCGAATACCTTCGCCTCCGTGCATGTTTTAGAAAGTGTCAATGTCATGCGACAAACTTCGTGTGTTAGGTCTTGTCACTATTGAAAATCCAGTTTGTTTCTTTCTTCTGCAGACATAGGTTTATTATGTAATTATTAAACCAAATACCATTTCACGAACCTGACTACGTATGCTGTTGGAACCGCTACCACCAGAACCACCGCTACTTCTACTTGGCATTCTAAGGAACGTGTGAACTGTTTAAAAACAAAAACAAAATATTGAGGCACTTTAAGGACTGACATTTTACAACAGCAAAGAAAATGCCTTCAGCACAGCAAATTCCTGTACAAACGCACGCCGTAGATATGCAGCATGTTTGCTGGGAAGACGCCATCTTGGTATGTGTTACGATAAAGACAATTAGTATTTTAATTGGCTAGTTCTACTTTACCAGTTAGATTCTGGTAAGCGATATCGAAATTTGGATTACATCCAGCAAGAATACAGCTAGCGTTTGGAACAAACTTATAACTCATCTGAAATTCAGCGCACATGCCTAGGAATAAACTTAAGGAATTGCAATACCAACCAAAGAAACTTTAATTTCCGCAATTAATCACTGGAAAGTTTTTGATTCCCTGTTTATTTTGTCACACTTCCTCAACAACATAGCGTCGAACGTTTGGAATGGCGAATGACGTATTTCTTGACAAAATATAAAAGCAGACACACGTACAAATATTGGAGGAACGATCATTGGGTATATTGTTATGGATTAGTTAACAATGTTTCTTCATCGGTTGCTCAAGTTAAGCAATGTCGAATGGTAAGTCGATAAACGAATTGGAAATGTCGTATCCGTTAATTAGTCACTGACATTTGCCGGAATGTAATTTCCTTCTTAATCAGATACGCAGAATGTCGATTTTCATAATGTGGTTTTAACACCATATGGACTTACAAGTAGATACCAGAGTTTCAGAGGAACTGCACAGTGTTATAACCCACAGTATCGACACACCGACATCTTCATCGCTGCACATAATTTCTGTCTGCTGGACAGGTTATCTCAGTGCAGT